GACCAGGTTCGTCATTCGTCATTAAGGGGTTATGGGAGCAGCCTGGCACCATAACAATTAGTGCATGCTTAGGTAGCTTTAAAAAAAGATTACTCCAAACACCATGGCTAGTTAAGTGATCTGAAGTCGTCATGATAGAGGAGACTGTTCCAGGCTGCCTTATGTAAATTTTGTGCTAAAATTACATCTGTTTTAAGCAATAGATGAAATGATCTCCCAGTCAGGCAAAAGCTAGCATGTAGGCTTTTAACTACTTGAATTTTGTTTTATTAAAGGACTATAGTGTCATTAGGTCCCTTTCACCCTCAGGATCTCTCTCCCACTTACCTGTCTCCAGATCCGGGCTCCTTCTGTGCTGGGGAAGTCTCCACCCCCTGCCGACGTCAGATCCGAATGCGTTTCTCAATGCATTCCTATGGGCTGTTCCACAGTGAGAATTGCGGAAGTGCCTCTAGTCAGTGAGACAGCCACTAGAGGCTGGCTTAACCCTCAGTGAAACATGTTTTCAGCTGCAGGGTTAAAACTAGAAGGGGCTGGCACCCAGACCACTTCATTGAACTGAAGTGGTCTGGGTGCCTATAGTGGTCCTTTAAACAGTGAGGTCACTCTTTGCACGGTAACTATCAAAGCAGGCTGTAATGGTTATTGTGCTTAGACTGTTACTATAAGTTTGTAAATCAAGCTCATTTCAATGCCAATTTAAAGGACCACTATAGTGCCAGGAAAACAAACATACTCGTGCGAAAACATACTATAGTGCGCATTCAGCCAGTCTCATAGGAAAGCATTCACAATGCTTTCCTATGGACGCTGGCGTCTTCTCACTGTGAAAATCACAGTGAGAAGCACGCAAGCGCCTGTAGCAACTGTCAATGAGAGGCTGGATTAACCCTAATATAAACATAGCAGTTTTGTCTGAAACTGCTATGTTTATAGAAAAAAAACCCTAGCTGGACCTGGCACCCAGACCACTTCATTAAGCTGAAGTGGTCTGGGTGCCTATAGTGGTCCTTTAAGAAAAGTTATACAAGAAAAAAAAAAATCATTGCATGAAGAGGTTAACACATTGTAAGAAAATAATAGAGTCCTCTTTTCAGGTTATTGAAACAAACCAGTTGCTTGAACAATACTTTAGTAGGGTGTGTAGAAATATATATGTTTTTTTTAACTTACAAAGGGGCACTATACTATTGGCACTGTAAAAACAGCTGGTTCTTTGTGATGAGCTTTAGCAAACCTATTCAGTTTGGCTTATACAATCTTGGTTGCATTTCTAATAAATGTGGCCTTCCTTTAGGAATGGGCCATTTTGCATAAGCTGGAAGTTTAGACAAATGATCTGAGAACTTTCCAGCACAGAACAGAGCAATTTGACCTAAACAGCTTCACCAAGAAAATCCTAAATTCTACAACTCTGGGGCTTTCAAAATTTCTATGCAAAACAAATAAAAACTTGATTCAAAGAAAGAAAGGAAAAAAAAAAAGTTACATACATTAAGACAGTCTACGTCCACTAAAACATTCAAATTGCTAAAGAAAATATACTATACACAAAAACGCACATGGGTTGGGAAATGACCCAAAAAAGTCATATTGATCCCCATAGAGGGAGAGCTCATGAAGTGGTGGGGAGCACTGCTCCCTGCCACTTCTATCTTTACATATTACAAGGAGGGAGCTGCATGCCGGTAGCTCCCTCCTTGTAATAAACTGAATGAACAAACGAACACTGATATACATAGTGTTTGTTTGTTCGGCTGACATTTCTATTCATTCATTCGTCTGTCTGATGAATGAACGAACGAACGAACGAATAGACTAAATTCCCGTTCGCATGTCCGGGAATCTCACAGTCTGTTTAGTGTGGGCAGATGACGTGTCCCACAGGGACTTCATCTACCCACACAAAGATGGCAGTGCCCTGAATAAAGATCGGGGCAGAAAATAAAGAATAACAAATAGGTAATGTGGGGGGCTTAGGAGGTGACTAGGGTGTCAGATGTATTGGAGGCCGGTTAAAAAAAAAAAAAAACACAAAAAAAAACAGGATTCCTTTAACACTACAGTTTTCCTTTAAAAAAGAATACAAAACTAAAATGTTTACTAGGAGTAAAAATAAAAAAGTTGGTATGACCATGGATTACACCATTTTATAATAGGAAAAGCTATGAAACAAAGATCAATGACCACTGCACCAATTTAAAAGATCAGGACTTTGCATGTGATACTATATAACAGCTAAAAGGACAATCTGCATTTTCATCATTTGAAATGTAAATAGTTAATGTAGTTAATTCTACAGGTCAATAACATTCTTTAATATAGTGACCACACGCATTCTTTTTAACCTCCTTTGCAGTATTTACATCTGAAGTATAAAAAGCCATGGACAGCAAAGCATTTATTTGTTCTTGGTTTATATATTGCAACTGCCTGGATTGAATGTCCGCACCAACAGAGTTGCAAAGATTTACTAACGACATTGTAAATCACACAACACTGCATTCCATACTTTTAAATTAGTTCAAAATACAGGGTCTACAACGGTGGTAAATGCAAGTTTTAAATAATGAGAATTCCTGAATCAACTCTATATAACAAACCTCAACTAGAGTAACTTAACAGTAAATGTTCAGATCCCCATAATAATCAACAGAGCTCTCATTACCAATGTGGATATAGCAACCTACCGGCAAAACATTATCCAACATTGCTTAACAATTAAAGCAGATGTACCAATAAGGAAACTAGATACTTTCAGCAATCAGCTGGCTGCAATTCAATATTTAAAAGCCTGCAGACATGGTCAAAAGGTTAAGTTGTCATTCAACCAAATATTAGTATGGGGAAGACTAATTACAAGTGAATGTCCACGGTATGACTATGGGTGCTAGACAAAGTTGCCACAGAAACAGTTCATTTGGGATTTTCATACACTATGGTCTCCAGAATTTAAACGTAATGATTTGATCAACATCCAGTGAGCTGAAAACTGTCAAATAAGGGTCTTTAAATAAGGAAAATACAGAATATAAATATATACGTTAATTACAGATTTTTGGAGTGGACCAAAAACAAAAATTAGTAAACAGTTTTGGAATGATTACATATCTAAAAGTATTAAAATTGCATGGAAATACTTTTACAGCAGGATAGAACCACATCCATCAAAATATGCTTGAATAGGAGCCATTTGGTTGAGCAGCCACTTAAAAGGGTTACTCCATGATCACTTCAGCCTGGAGTCTGTATACGCAGTACTTACAAAGTTTTACCACTTTTCTTTACACCTCTGACAACACATTTTGATGCCCATAGTTGCAAACATTGTCTGAGAGGGGTCAGATGTGCATCTTTGGCTAAGGAGGACGCTATGCACCTAGAGGGGACCCAGTTGTGAGGGCAATCGGTAACCCATTAATAGGTATTAATCCAGGCATCACCACTACAGCAGGCTACCACTGTGAGAACAGAGTCAAACAGTTAAATTCCAATAGGAGCTGCGGCGCATGCACTTTTAGGTCCCTAGTGTCAGATTGAAGTTAAGGGAGGAAGGATGAGCAGCTGCAGGGCCTCAATCTCATAGATAGAAAAAGGGTAAGCAAAACCTTCATCCCCTTTCCCCCCAATTTGAATTTATATTAGGGAATCTAAATAAAGAGGTGAATACTATAGTGTTAGAATACAGATGTGTTATGATGTGATATGGCTATTTAAAAAGGTTCATATTTGATAAGTCTTGCAGTTTTTATAAACCTCAGTCTAATAAGACATACAAGATTCCCTTGGAGCAATGTACCAAGACAACCAAAGTGAAAGATTTTGAATCCTAGTGTGTGGGGAGTTGCTCTTTTTAACAGGCAATTACACAACCTTGAGACATTCAGATAGTTGAGAGGTGTTAGTTGCACTACAAACACATACTTGTTAATTTTAATGCTTATGGTTGCTTTAATGACTGTACATTACAATTTCCATTTGAAAAAAAAAATTAAATAAAAAAGGGTATGCAAATATGGTTTTATTCACCAATTGGTGAATTTACAAAAACCAATAAAGATGAAACACACATTTGAAAGATTTAGGCAAAAATAGTATGGAAAAAACGCTTCAATTCAATCAAGTTGAAAAACCTAATTTGCAAAAATCTAGACAGACCAGATATGCTATATCGGTCTATCTAGATTTTTGCAAATTTGTTTTTTCAATTCACTGCATTGTGAATTCCACTGTGTCCATATAGAGCAGAACATTTTAAATATTTATTAACATCAAATACATTTCTAATCTAGAACTCAATGCTGGACTCAAGAGTCAAATTTACCCACTTAAAATTGTCACTACAGTCTATGGAAAGCAACAACACCTTGATTGTCAAACAAAACAGATACATTCACAAATGGAAGAGATGACTCCTTTTTGCAAACACAAAAACTATTAAAATTCCCATGTGCTTCAGGCTAAAAAGTTATGATGGAAGCCATGCAGAGCAGGAATATTGGCTGCAATGTGAATACACTTGTCAAAGATAAATCTAAAATAAACAGCACAACTCTTCATTTAAAGTGATCCAGTCCCTTAAAATAAAATGCATGTGAGAGTAGTCTATTCTCGGTTACAGCAATGACAAGCGTGTTTCTTTAATGTCCACCACTTCTGAACAAATAAAACCTATACAACAATCTCCTGAGTGGCAGCCAAAAACAAAAAGTCAGCAATGGCCAAAAGGTAGATCCCTCACTACTGTGGATTTTCTGTTTCACTGATATTTTGACATCCCTTCGATTTGCAAAGCATCATGGAAGTTGTAGTCCTACCACTGCTGACAAATCAACCATTTGACAACCCCTGCTTATTTTTTTTTTTATTACTTGCTATATTTGGATTACTTGAACACATATGATTTCTATGGTACCTAAGATTAATACTTCGCTTAAAACTAGGTACAGCTTAATGGAAGAAAGAGTACTTACTGGGGGTCTGTTTTGTGGGAACATCTTTCAAGGAGGTAGTGGTACTGTTCTCTGAAGTTTATAAGATGTGTCCTGTAAAAAAAGAAAGACAGTGAGAACAGACTAATTACAAATACTGAGTCACCCGATTTCAAACCTAGCCAAGATATTTGGAAATCAGCAATGTAACATGATGGAAAAGTCTTCAGACTACCAAAAGAATGCAACATGTTTACATTGGTAAGAGTGATACACTAAGTGGATATATAAGGACACTGTATAGGTTTGTGAATGGAAACCTACAGCTATACAGTAGGAGGAGCAAAGGTGTGGATCAATGTAAAGGTGTTTGTTTATAAGTAAAAAGAAAGGGGGTTACTATGCCTGCAAGGGAGGGAGGAAGCCACGGTTGGTTATTTGGAATTTGGTCGTTTGCCAAAAGTCATTTAGGAGAAAGATGAGCAGAGGCAGATCAGGGTAGAAGGAGGAAGTGAAGTTTCAGCCACAAAATACATAAAGATGACAGGACAGACATTTCAACCAAAAACATGTCAAATAAATCTTTAAAAATACAAGTGTGCTCCTTCTCTATGTCTTTAAACAAATCCATTTTATCCCCTTTCCCTTTGTGGCATCATGGTACAAATGCATAATTCTGCCAGAATTATATCATGAGGATACCTCAGGGGGCATAACCCCACACAAACAAAAGAAAACCAAAATAAAATAAAAATGAAAGTTATAGGTGTGTGTGTGTTTCTGACTGGTATTATTGTAGATAATGGTGTGGGGGTAATTCAGTAAGGCACATTACACAGACAGACACACCATGAAGGCAGTATACGATTTCTATCCAGTCACTAATACAGCACACAGCAGGCCCCCGTGTCTCTCAGTGTCCCCCCCCCTCCTATTTACTCCTCACTGAGCCCCTCCCCTGCCCCCCTTCTCTTTCATTCGTCCTTCCCCTCTATCACCCCATCTAACACCCCAGTCCTCCCAGAGCCCCTCAAATTATGTCTCCATCACCCCATCACAGTGTCTCCCAATGCCCCCTCTCTCCAGGCAGCTCCCCCCCGCCCTGCTCCCTGCTCCCTCCCCCCTCTCGCTCCCAGGCCTCTCAGTACCAGCCAGGCTCTCCCATACTTCCCCCCGGACACCCTCTATCAGCCTCTCTCACCGGGCCCCGCAGTAGGAGGAGCCAGTCTCCAGTAGGGCCCAGTCTCCCGGTGCTCGGTGCGGCCCCTCCCTCCGGCTCAATCAACGGCCGCCAGCTCCACGTGGGTCCTGGCTCCTGCAGGCAGCCCCAGATCCCACTGACCAATCACGACGAGGCTGCTCCCACGTGGGGTCCTGCCTACTTGTCAGTGATTGGTTGGAGAATTCCACACTGTCAATCACAAGGAGCTCAGGACGTCTTCTGAGATACTTAACCCCTTGCATCCCCGGAAGCCGCTTGGTGACTGCTTCTATTTAACCCTTCAGTGGGCTTTTTCCAAGCTAACAGACAACAACAACCCCCCCCCCCATATAATGAATGGTGGGAGGGGGAGGGAGCAGATGGAGGGGTGTTGAAAATAACTAATAAACTCTTGAAAGGAATGGTTGGTGGTATAGATTTAAAAAAAAACTGAATAATAGGGATACCCAACCCTTGGCCCACCAGGTTTTTTAGAACAAATTTTCAGCTGTTGTTTTGGCCTTAAAAATATCTCCCTTGATTCTCTAATTTGGTGTTTAGTGTACAACCCTCTGAAATGTTGTGAATTGAAATAAATAAAGAAAAAAGATATCAGGAAATCATTTTGTGTTTTGTAAATCTGTATGTCAGATTTCAGTGTGTAGGAATATGTGTGTGTGTGTGTGTGTATATATATATATATATCTCAGATAAGTTGTGGTGGGGAATAAAACTGTGGCTGAAAACCCCTTCCACCAGATATAAGTGAATAGTTAATGCAATGTTAAACATAAATACACACACCAGGCGAGCTATAAGACTTGCTTTTACCACAGAAATCTCACTTTAAGGGGGCTCTCCAGTGCCAGGAAAACAAACCTGTTTTCCTGGCACTGCAGGATTCTGCAGTGCCCCCCTCCCTCCTGTCCCCCATCCCATGTTGCCGAATGGGTTAAAACCCCTTCAGTGACTTACCTGAATCCAGCATCGATGTCCCTCGGCGCTGGGTCAGGCTCCGCCCACGGTCCTCCCCTGTCATAGTCAGCCGGCAGGGGAGACCTAATGCGCATGCGCTCCAAAGGCCGCACACGTGCATTAGACCTCCCCATAGAAAAGCATAATTAAATGCTTTCCTATGGGGATTCCGGCGACGCTGGAGGTCCTCATGCATAGCGTGAGGACGTCCAGCGTCATTTAAAACACTTTTGTGTTCTAAGAAGCCGGAAGTCACTCTGGTGGCTGTCTGATAGACAGCCACTAGAGGAAGACTTAACCCTACAAGGTAATTGTTGCAATTTATAAAAACTGCAATAATTACACTTGCAGGGTTAAAGGTGATGGGAGTTGACACCCACACCACTCCAATGGGCAGAAGTGGTCTGGGTGCCTGCAGTGTCCCTTAACAGTGCTCTCATTACCCAGAATCCCTTGCAGTAATGAGAGCACTGTTAAAGTGAGATTTCTGTAAAAGCAAGTCTTATGGCTTGCCTGGTGAGTATTTGTGTTTAACATTGCATTAACTATATCTATATATATATATATATATATATATATATAGTTATATGTATTTACCTCTGTTATACAATGTACCTCTAATTGTACTGCATTGGTATTATATGTGTAACAATTTGATGTTCTCCTGGATATACTTGAAAACAATGGAAATCTCAATGGATCTTCCTGGGTAAAGTATTTTATAAATAAATCATTTTACTTTTTAATGACAGTTTTCTGTTGAGAATAACCCTGGTTATGCATAGTTATGCACAGTGTTGTGTTTCAAATCTCTTAGGGAGAAACAACTTGTCTTTGTTCTTAAAGGAACTCTGTGACGAGGCCACATTTCAACTGCAAATAATTTACCTTCACCTGGGATTATTCACTAAACAGCCAAATTGTGACACTAGCATTGTGGGATACTTGTTTTTTGTTGTTTTTTTTCAGATCCTCTCTTGTGACCTAATTTTCTGCAATTAGGTATTAAGTTCACTACAATTAGCTACCGTACTTAGTGAATAAATGCATTCACATTGTACATGTATATAAAACAGACAGGCAGTTTTTTGATACCAATATGTATACTCACATAGAGGTTTATTAACTGAATCGTGAACTACAGAATTACAACAAGTGCACAAGTAATTTAAATGAGAAAGTTCAAAACACCTTGATTGGTATCCCCTAAACCACCTTTATAAAATACACAAAATATACATACAAAGGTGGAGCTGATTGGGATAAAATATGCAATGAATCTGTGAAGATAAAAAATAACAGAAAAGAGTGCAATGTTGTCTGAACAAATAATGTTATGGTCAGTAGAGTTAAGAGTATCACTCACAAGTGAGAGCCATTCACATTATATGGCTCGGATGGTAACCGCAGATGGACACTTTAAGGATGTCCAGCTCCTTTCTCCTCCTGATCCTCTGTTAGCAGCTTTGTTAATATTGACACACAGTATACCGGAGGTATACTAATAAAGGCCCTAATAAAGGAAATGAAAATTAAATGGAAAGTGTCCACCATCAGAAATTATGTTAGGGAGCAAATCACCCCAAGAGGCCTGAGGTTTTTTTTTTTAAAAAAAAAACACTTTTGACCGAGACAATACTGGATTTATGACAGGTTGGAACAAAATGTTGGAATGTTTTTCCGTCATTATGATGGGATACATTGTATCCAGGAGAGAGGAAAACCTCACACAATTGGATGAAGAAATTTAAGCTTGAAAGGAAAAACTTAGTGAAACCACTAGTCTTGAAATGTACAATCAAATAAATCAAAACCAAAATAGAAAAAGCCAAAAGAAAAACTATCTAAATTAAAGAGAAAAAAATACTTGAGAGATACTAATGATTATAAAACAGGAAATATAAATGCAACTACTGTAAGATAAGTCAGGAAACAAAATACTAACACTAGAAAAGAGGTAAAGCAATATAGAAGTGAATCTCCCAATACTCAAACCAGAGGTGACCGAAGGGACACCAACATAAGATGGCGTAGAAGTCAAACCCCTAGCCCAAGAAGATATTATTAATTATGTATTTATTTATAAAATATTTTACCTGGAAAGATACATTGAGATTTCTCTCGTTTTCAAGTATGTCCTGGGTCCAAATATATACAAAATTTAACATAGAAAGGGTAAGAAATATATAATCAACCATGACAGGTGCATGACATAACTATAGTCATAGGGACACAAATGTAAGATGGCGAAGAACCCAAACTCTTAGCCCAAAGAGACACAAATTTGACACATCATACAACTCACGACATGATCTTTTTAAAAAATCAAAACACCACACAGCCCCTTTTATATAATACCCCCTCCTTAGCACACAAGAGTTATAGTGAAGTGGTACAACAGTCCCCCAAGAAAACCCAGAAGAGATATAACTAACACCAGACAAGAAGAATATAGACCATCCACAAGAGACTCTAGAACATCCCCATTATCCTATAGAAATAGGTTTGAAATGGTGGAAGAACAACCACAAACATCAAGCCAAGAGCAAGAAACTTTTTTTTGGAAGGGCACAAACGTATACAAGAATTACCATCATGCGATTCCCCAGGCAAACGCCGAAGGTCAACAGAAGATAGAGACATAGAGGACGAAGAAGCCAGAAACTGAGGGGAAAGAAACAAATCTGGAGGGAATCTTTAATCTGACAGGACAACCACTGTCTAATGAAGAGATAGGAATCTTACAGAAAGGTTTTAAGTTTGCTCCAACAACGAATTTTAAAAAATGCTACTTTTTCATAGATATGAATAAATTCATTAGACATCTTTTATTATAAAAAAGACACCATACAAAAAGAACAAACAACAGAGTATGTACACACAGATCTAAAAGTAAAATCATTCCCATCTTATGTCAGATGAAATGAAAACCTTTGAATCAATGGTTATGAGGCAAGTAGGAAAAAATGAAACCTTTAAATAAATTCCAACAATATATATCTGTTAGAGAAAGAAAAGCAGGGAGAGAAACCTGCAGATAAAGGAGGTGGGATAGTGGCCCTTTCCAAGGACAAATCTCTCAGATCAAACAACTTATCAGAAATTAGAGACAAACCCCACAGAATCGGTGAATGAAAAGTTTAAGGAATATATTAAAAAGGGCCTAGAAAAAGAGGTCTTAACCGAGAGTGAAGCAAAGTACCTCTCCATTCCCCATCCAAGATTGTCGGTTTTCTACCACCTCCCCAAGGTACACAAAAATAAGGAAAACCCCCCTAGGAAGACCTATCATATTGTGTACAAATTCTATCTCAGCAAAGGTCTCTGAAAATTTGGATAACCTTCTTCAACCTACAGTAGTTAAAAATCCAGCTTACTTAAAAGATACTATATACACATCTTACAACTCTTAGAAGAAACATGGAAGCGGAATACCTATTAGTAACGTGCAACATTACATCTCTCTATAGTATAATAACCCATGAAATATGCCTAAAAGCGGTCAAACATTTTCTAACTAGATCCGGTTTTAAAAATGATCAAATTGAGTATATCTTGGAAGGGATTCATTTGATTTTAACTAATAGCTTCTTTTGGTTCCAAAACACATTTTATCTTTAAATCCGCAGAATGGGGATGGGCACCAAATTCGTTCCCAGTTACACCAACTTGTTTATGGTTTATTGGGAAGAATTATTTGTATACCAAGGCCACTCTTGGGTAGCGAAATTTGGTAACCTATTGCCATTTCATTGATGATATATTCTTCATTTGGACAAGATCAACCACAGATTTTGATGTGTTTTTAACGTATCTTAACAGAAACGATTGGAACATTATTTTATGCTTGCAATCTAGCACTTAAGAAATCAATTTCTTAGATCTTCACATTAGTATTCAAGAATCTTGCATAACCACCAAAAACTTATTTAAAGAAGTTGATGCAAATGGATACATAGAGAAGAAAAGTTGCCATTATACCGCCTGGCTCACTAATGCCCCAAGGAGCCAGTTTTTAAGAATTCGGCAGAGTTTCTCAGATGATTACAACTATATGATTCAGGCAGAGAGGATAAAAACACAATTCCAGGAGACAGGATATGATGAGGGAAAACTACAATCAGTTCTGGAAGGAGTTAGAATAACCCAAGAAAATACCTGCTAACATATAAAGAAAAATAGAAAAACATTGATGTCCCCTTCCTTTGTAACTTTAATTGGAATGATAGAAAGGTCAGTAGAGCAATCGGAAAATATTGGCACATCCTACAGGCTGACCTGATTCTCA